GGGATTGAGATCATGAGGCTTTGCCAAGCATCATTTGGCCACAGGGTTTTTGTCTGCCTGGCAGGATAGACCCTCACATTGTTCGAAGGCTCCTACCATTCTTCATGAATATCACTTTCTCCCTATTCCAATCATCTATTCCTCCTGAGGCAGAACAGGCCGTATCTCCAGAATCCTTCATCTCTAGTTCATCTTCTCTGGTTAATTCTTATGTATCCTTCACAGCTCGGCTCAAATTTTAGACTTCCAAGATTTGCTGGTCAGGTCAGCAGTCAGGTCAGAATTTCTCATCCCCCATCCTCCTCCTCTTCCTCCTTTCCCCCTCCCTCCGTCTCCTCTATGAACCCCTCAGGGATGGGGAGATCACTGCCATACATACACATACCACACCCAAGCCCAGGACCTGTGGCAAGGCGCAATAGCAGAGTGACTAACTGATCTTCATTTTCCATGTGAGTGAATCTGGGCCCCGGGGGGGCCTGAGGTTCCCAGGAAAACGGAGAGGGGTGGGCCCCGCTGCAAGGCTTGCCTGTTAGAGCACCATGGGCAGGAGCCCCAGCTCCAGCACCGGCACAATGTTGGTGCTCGTGATGCTTGTCTTACGAGGCGCTCTCGAGATGCTGTTCATCAGAATGGCTCCACATGAAAGAGGGAAGGAGGCAGGCTTCTTCAGAAGTGCTTGAAGGGCTTCCAGAAGGAAACTGGAGCCTAGAAGCTCACTGCTGTGTGTAATAGCACCCTGGGGAAATCAAAGGTGTCAGAGAATCAAGAGAATTAGGGGCAGCTGAGGAGGCACCTGAGCAAATACGAAAGGAAAGCGAGCAGGAACAGGGGAAAAGCTAAGAGCTGCTGGAGACAGGAAAGGAACTCAGATATAAACACGTGACATGGCTTAGCAGGAAGCAGCATTTCCACAGCCATAAGATGAGCAATGCCCACTTCAGGAAAACAAAAACAAAAACTGCACTGCATATCGATTGCAAGTAGAAGGGGTGAGTGAAAGCTAAGTCCTCCTCCATAAAAAGTGTCTGTAATCCTAGCTACTGAGAAGGCTGATTTCTGAGGATCATGGTTCAAAGCCAGCCCCGGCAGAAAAGTCTGTGAGATTCTTATCTCCAATAAACCACCAGAAAACCAGAAGTGGCTCAAACCGGTAGAGTGCTAGCCTTGAGCATAAGAGCTCAGGAACAGGGGCTGGGAAGGTGGCTCATTGGTAGAGCACTTGCCTTGCATGCATGAGGTCCTGAGTTCGATTCCTTAGCACCACATAACCAAAAAAAAAAGCCAGAAGTGGTGCTGTGGCTCAAGTGGTAGAGCGCTAGCCTTGAGCTGAAGAGCTGAGGGACAGCGCTCAGGCCCAGAGTTCAGGCCCATGACCGGACCCAAAAAAAAAAGAGCTCATGAACAGCACCCAGGACCTGAGTTCAAGGCCCGGGATGGACCCAAGAAAAAGGCATTTGGCCACATGACAGGCTTGAACCCTACTGACAACAACCAAAGTCTTCCACTCTTTCCTTCCAAAGAGGCAAAGACCGTCATGTGATGCCCGCCCAGGGGGTCCGGAGGGCAGCCACTGCAAACAGAGCCCGTCTGTCGCTGCCTACACCTTATGAGCACCAGGGAAAGCAAGCTACTTGGAAATCCGGCGGCAGACAACACTGAAAAAGTTGGAAGTGGTCTCCTTGGAGGAGTGAGGCTGGGAGGGCCAGGAGGGGGTGAGAATACCCTTTCTAACTGTGCCATGTAATCTGGCACTAATATCCGAGGGGGTTCGGAACCAGCAGAGAAACACAAAGGGAACAGTCTCTGGGGACAGTGGGTGACGTTTCCTGTCCATACGGCCCACACTTGTCTAAACTCAGCAAACCAGACCTTCAAAGAGCCATCTGTACATTTTATCTCCACCAAGGAAAAAAAAAGAACTGTAAGCAAATACAGGACTCTAGCTAACGGCCTGTATGCTGACATCTCATGAAGGAGAGCAAGCTGATATTTGCAAACTTTCTTTGAGAAGGTTTTTTAAATTAAGCCAGGTCCTGGTGGCTCACTCCTGTAACCATAGCTACACAGGAAGATCGGTGTTCAACGCCAGATAAGACTTTTTTCCCCCATTGGCCGTGGGGCTTGAACTCAGGGCCTCATCACTGCCCCTGAGCCTCTGGGTTTTGAGTGGTTGATTGGGATTAAAAGTCTCACAAGGACTTTTCTGCCTAGTCTAGCTTGAAACCGCAATCCTCAGATCCCTGCTGCCTAAGTAGCTAGAATCATAGGCGAGAGCCACCGACACCCGGCTGAAAAGTCCATGAGACATTCATTTAGCTCTAGTTACCAGCAAAAAGTCAGAAGTAATGACATGGCTCAAGTGGTAGGGTACCAGATTTGAATGGAAAAAGCCAAGTGAGAGTTCAAGCCCCAGTACTAGCACATATACACTCCCCTGAAAAAAAGTTGCATAGAGAGACAAGTAGGTTCCTTATAAATCAAGTATAGCAATATTAACAATTGTACATTGTGGGTAGATATATAATGATTTCCATTTGAAGTTTTTCCTATAAGATGCTGGGGGACCACTAAGTGAATGAGTTGAAGGCCAATATTATACTGCTCAAACTCAGATCGGCCTGGATGGCCCACACACCCTCCTCTGTGCCTGGCTGGCTGGCAACTGTCACCATGCCTTTGTGTTCCCACTGCACCCTGGGACCCTAGAGTGTGGGGACCCAGGATGTCCTCACCTCTGTCCCCCTCCCTCTCCCCCCCCCAGGATGTCTGGCAGAATGGGATGTCCTCCCCCGGGCCCCTCCATACCTCAGTAACAGAACTATCTCACCAGGGACATCCCCTGCAGCTGTATTCTGTCCTCTTGCAGGGGGTAAACTGAGGTGAGACAGAGCCTGGCTCGCCTGGGGACTAAGCAGCCAGGGTGCTTGCTCCCAGCCCATGTATGTATAATTAGCCAGTGGGAAATAGATGGGGGAGCAGATCTCATCTGCCTAATTAGGGGCTCAGCAGCTGGGACCAGGTTGGCCTGAGGAGCCAGCGGGAGAGCAGCAAGCCCCGGAGAAGGGGCAGCAGCTGCCGGCCCTGAGGGGGGCTGCCCATTGAGGCTCACACCCACTCCACATGGAGGGGAACAATGGAGGAGCTGTGTCTGCAGATTGGAGGCTGGCAGGGGGAGGGGCTGGCTGGGAGGCTCCAGACTCTGGAAGGGGTGGGGTGGGGGCTCTCAAGGCCCGGCAGCACCTGTTGGAGAAATCAAGGCTCAGTCTGGCACCATCGCCCCTTCCAATAATCCCTCCTAGGGTCCCCTTCACCCCCACTGGTTGACTCAGTTCTGCTCTGGGATAGGGCCTTGTATTGCAGGACAGGAGAAGTGCTCTCGGCTTCTCTGCCCCAAGTGAAGGCAGGGACGAGGTGTGCTTGCCACGGGCACGCAGCAAGTGCTGCACAGTAGAATAATCAGAAGGAATGGGTCCATGGAGAAGTGGGAAGCCCAGGCCTTCTTGCAGACCTGCTAGAAGCACCCCTGTCTCTCTAAAGGTCCCCTTCAGATTTGGTGAGGGGTGCCCCAGCACCAACACCTCTCCCAGGAACTAGAAGTTCCCCTGCCAGCCCTGGGACCTGAACACCAATTTCTCCACATTGTAAAATGCAGCCAGGTCATCCAACTTCCAGACTGCCTGGGGTTTGCAGGTCACAGTGAGGAAAGAGCCCAGAGAGCTGGCCTTGGACCACACAAAGGCTCCACCACGCGGAGCTGGCCTGGCTGTCCACCCTGACCCTCACTCCTGCAGTACGGAGACCCAGGAGGCCTGGCTCCTGCCCTGTCAGAACTGCTGGACATCTTTGGACATCCGGGCCTCTTTTTTTTATTTTTTTTTTGGGTCTGGTCGTGGGGCCTGAACTCTGGGCCTGGGCATTGTCCCTCAGCTCTTCAGCTCAAGGCTAGCGCTCTACCACTTGAGCCACAGCACCACTTCGGCTTTTTTTTTCTCCTTATGTGGCACTAAGGAATCAAACCCAGGGCCTCACACATGCAAGGCAAGCGCTCATTCACTGAGCCACCTTCCCAGCCCCCATCCGGGCCTCTTGTGCCTCAGTCTCTTCGCTGTACCCAGAGGGAGTAGAACCCATTCTCACACGGCAACCACATTTTTCTTTATCCAATCTCCCTGTTTTTGCTCAGACTCAGGCCAGATCCCCAGGACTGGTTGTGAGCAGACAACTGGCCTGACCTGGATGTTTGTCAACAGCTTAGCGGAAATCAACTCTTTCTGCCTAAAATAAAACACGAGCCCTGTCACAGGGGCCCCCTAGCCCTTCCTGTTTCTGAAAGTTGCAGCTGAAGGAGGCAGCCTGGGTGAGGAAGCACCACCGGCCTCCCCACTCCCATGGGGGGAGGGGAGCCCGCAAGACCGCCCTGGATGGTCACCCGCGAGTACTAGGTCTGGTTGTCCTGGCAGCCAAGCGCAGTGTCTCCTGGCTACAAGGTACTAACCTGGGAGACAACTAGAAGGGGATGAGCCCTCCAAGCTCAGTACCAGCGCCCTACCCTTCTGCCCCTTCCCCCCAGAACTATCACCAAGGATCCAGGACCCAAGCCTGTGACACCTGGCCCTCCATGGAGGCCAGGAGGGAGCCTGGCTTGTCTACGGCCACCCACCCTACGCTGCTCACCTACAGCCCCACTTCCTTCCCCAACTCCCGCCTCCAGCTCTCACTATGGCCTGGGTGCCTTCTCTGAGCTTCCTGAACACCAAGGCTGGGGAAGGCCTGGGCATCCCTGCCAGCCTCTCCTCTATGCCCCTTTCCCAGCTCTGTCCCCTTCTGCCATGCAGCTGACCCATCTCCTCTGCCATGAGGGAGGGATGGCTGGCCAGACAACCCCTTGCCCACACCTTGGGGTGAACAAGTACCCAAGTTTTGAAGACTCTACCCCATGACTTTTAGAGACTTATCCTTTGTGAACACAGAAGAGTCTGAAGGCTCAGCCCTTGAGAAACGAACAATTGTGTTTATTAACAAGGAAGAAAAATCAGAGCAGCACAGTCTCCTAACCAGTCCCTCCTGTAGTCTACCCACCTAGCCCATCTGCCAAAGACTGTAGACAAATGCTCTCCTCCCTGCCCCCATCCAGGATGAGCTCCCAGGAAGTCAGGGCCCGCTGGATAAAGAAGTCAGCAGAGGCCAAGGAAGGAAGGAGGAAACCGAGCTCCTTGGCCAGACAGGCTTGGCAAGTTGTTTGGCCCCTTACTCTCAATGGGGAGGGCTCAACATCCCAAATCCGGCCCCAGTAGAGGAACCAAGCTGGTGTATACTCCCTTCAGAAACCTCACTCGTGGGGAGGGGAGGCCAAGGCCAAGGCCACTGGGGGCAGGGTGGGACCTTGTCAGAGGTCGCTGGGTTGCGCCACGGGGTTCACACCAGGGAGCTGCCTCCGGTCTGCCCAGAGACAGGAAGTGGATGCACAAGTCCAGGGCCCAAATGCCCTCCACGCTCTGTCCTGCGCGGGTCCCGGCCCCCGTGGGGGCCTACCCCTCCGCGGCCGGGGTCTCGCGGGCCTGCCGGAGGCCGTACAGCCACTTGATCACGCGGGCATTCCTCTCGATCACCGACACGCCGTAGGGGACGCGATCCCGGGCGCGCTCCTCCACCGTGGCCGAGCTGCGGCGGGAGCATCCCCCCTCGGAGCTGCCGGGCCCGGCACTGGGCCCCGCCAGGGACACGATGTCCGAGCTGGCCCGCGCCAGGTGCGCCACCCCCAGGCCCCGGGCCTCCTCGGGGTCCAGGCCGCAGTAGTTAAAAAAGCGCTCGAGGTCGGCGGCGGCCCTGGAGAAGCGCTCGCTCAGGTCCGACTTGGAGCGCTGCAGTCCCGGCGGCCGGCCGGGGCTGGAGGCGGCGGTGGTCCCGGGCGACGGGCAGGGCTGGGCAGGGGAGGCGGCGGGCAGGGGGCGCACGTCCACGCGGCGCACGGCAGCCGTGCTGGGCGGGGGGCGCGGAGGGGTGGCTGGGGGGGCCGGGGCGGCTCCCTCCGCCCGCCCGGGGGTCCGGCTGCCCTCCCCGGCGCACACGGGGCTGTCACACAGGTCGATGAGGTTGCTGAGGATGTCCAGGTCCAGCTGCGGCCGGCGGCAGGGGCCAGGCAGCGCTCGGCGGCTGGGCGTGAGCACTGTGCGGCGAGTCCCGGGACTAAAGAGCGGCTGCTTGGACAGCAGGGGCTGCACGGGCTCCTGGCGGGTGTTGGCCACGTGCAGGCTCTTGACGTACTTGGCCTTGTCGGCCTCCAGGCGCTCCACCGCGCTGGGTTTCCGGGCTCCGCCGTCCACCGGCCTCCGTAGCAGGTAGCCGGGAACCTTGGGCCGCAAGCGGAAAGGAAGGGCGGGCGCGGCTGGGGCTCCCGGGCTGAGCGTGTCCACAGGCATGGCTGTCACATACCCCGAGGGCTTCGGTCCGGCAGAAAGCAGGCAACCTCTGCGGGGAAGGGAAGGAACCAGGCTGAGCGCAGACAGACAAAGGCTCAGGCAGAGCCGGTGAGGGGCTGAGAAACCGGCCCTATATAAGGGAGAGGCCACGCCCCCACACCACAGGGAACCAATCAACAGGTAGACGGCCGCTGCTGACGGGGTGTGACCACACCCACTCCCCTTCCCCCCGCCCATCCAGGGATGGGGATCAATCAGGCCCAGCGCTGACAGAAAAAGTAAAAAGACGCTGGAGAAGAAAGAACAGGCAGCGCTGATGTTAAGGGGAACAGAGCAGGGCCCAGACCCCGTGCTGAGGACGGCCAGCTCCACCTCGGCGTCTCCCCAGAAGCCATTTTGCAGATGGGAAAACTGAGGAAACCAGAGCTGGAGGAAATCACCCAACAAGCTGCAAAGGAAATGGGGGTGCAGGTGGTCAAGTGACCCAGGAGGAGGGGACTCCAGCCCACCTGGACACCCCACCTGGACTGCCCACAGAAGCCTGGCACTACCTCCACTCCTCACCCACCCGGGCAGGAAGCCGCTAGGTGCCATCCACCTGCCTGGACATGCCAGGCCCTGGGCATAGAAGAGCATGTACGAGCAGAAAATGCCCATCTCTGCCCCACCGGAGGCCAGACACCCGTAGCTTCCAACATGGGATGCCAAGGTGAGGCCCACAGTGACCCATCTGAGCCCTGCTGCTCCAAGGAAGGTCGGAAGGAGCCAGGCCCACAGGGATGGCTCTCAGGCCGGAGCTCTGCCTGCACATGCAAGTCTACAGGGATGCCCAAGCAGCACAGCTCAGGTATCCAGGTAACCCTGTGCATGTTTCCAAGGAAGGGCCAAGGCCAGAAGACCCCAGCCCCTTAGCTCCCTGGGAAACAAAGGTCCCAAACCTCATCTGGGCAACAGAGAAAGAGGAGTGCTTAAAGCACCCCAAGAGGACTTACTGTTCAGGCCGCCTGGACCTGTACTGCCTGGATTAAATAGCCACTACTCACCTGACTCTTCAGCCTTCCTAAAACTCAAAGAGACAGCACCTCACACCTCTAATCCTCACTGCTCACAGGCAGGAATCTGAGGATTGTAGTTAAAAGCCAACCTGGGCAGGAAACTCCATGAGACTCTTACCTCTAATTAATCATCAAAAAGCCAGAAGTGGAGGTATGGCTCAAGTAGTCGAGCACCAGACTTGAGTTAAAAAAAAAAAAAAGCTAAGGGACAGCCCTGAGTTCAAATCCCAGTGTCACACATACAGCCAGGTCCTGAATCACACCAGCTCCACCTCCATGATGACGGGAGGGCCAGTCTGTGTGTTCACTGTGGCTCTTAGTACCTGCTAGGCATTCCAATATTCACTGAGTTGAAATGGCTAGGGAGCCAGCCCTGAACCAGCAGAGCGATGGAGCAGAGGAGCAGCCTGTGGGTCAAGGCCAAGGCGATGGGAGTAGTGTACCAGGAGGCTGGAGACCCAAAAATGAAAGGCTTCTTAGCTATGCACATAATCAGTAATAATTTGTACAATACTGCATTTACCAGGCAAATAAAACATGTCTGCAAAGGTACCTGTCCTCCTCCATGTTTCCTCCTTCCCCAGCTTGGAGGTGAGCAGCTATGGTGAACTGACCTGGGCCTTGGGGGCTGTTGGTTCATAGCTACTGCTGCTCCCAGGGTAGGGGGGGATGGGTAGATAGGGGAGGCAGGCTCACCCAACTCAGGTAGACCCCCCAGGAGACCTCAGGCAGGGAGCTCCTGCGAAGTAGCCAGACTGCACCCCACCCCCTCCACCCCCCACCACCACCCAAACCAGTCCAACCCGTTGGTAGTAGCAGAGGCGGAGGCGGGTCCTTCCCCAGGCACCACAGGGAAAGAGGAAGAAGGTCAGAGAAGCAGGGCCAGGGCAAAAGCCCCTTGAGCACCTGCTCCAGCAGTCATTCCTGCCAGTGCCCCGGCCCCAGAGCCCCTTGGGCAGGGAGGCTCAGGGACAGAAGTGGCCTGGCTCAGGGTCTCGGGGGTGCCCACCCACCCGCCTGCTGTGCACCTTGCACAAGCAGCTGCCACCTCTTTAACAGACTTGGTTTCCTTATCTGTGAAATAAAGTTAAAAATAGCCCTCCCTGTGCACGGTCGGTCGGGTCACCAGAAGCCTGGAGTGATCAAACAGGTCACCACACCTGAGGAGCCAGTGGGAGGGCAGCGCTCCACCAGCCTGGCTGGCTGGCTGATTTCCGAATCGCGCCTGTGACAACCCAAGTACGCAGATGCCATCCCAGGGTCCCTAGGCCCGTGACAGGGGATGAACAGCAAAGTGACCTGCAGGAGCTCCATGCACAGGGGGCAGCTGGCAGGCTGGTGGCTCATGTGAAGGGTGGCCAGGCTGGTCTGTTCTCACTGGCCGGCACCCCACCCATGGATTTTCCAACACTGCCACCAACACTGAATGCCAACACTTTCTGCTGCGCCTCACCCCTCCCCACCACTGGCACCGGCTTTAGCCTTAGGGGACCATGGAGGGGGACTCCAAACCTCAGCTTGGCTTCTACCATCTCTCACTCTGAGGCAAGCTGGGGAGTCCTAGGGATGCCAAGGGTACCAGGAGGGCTGTGTGATGGCCAGAGCCCCTGCCCGGCTCTGAGCCAGGGTTGACCTACGTTTCTAATGGTCCGTGTGGCCCAGTCATGGCCAAAGGCTAGAACTTACCAATTCCCTGCCATCCAGGGAGGGCATGGCACCCTGGCTGTCCCCTCATGTCTGGGCCAAGTGCCCCCCCCAGTCCTGGCCCCCACCAGCTCCCCCCAGCACGTACCTACCTTGCTCCCCTTGCTCCCCGCTGCTGCGCTCCTCCAGCCCAGCCAACCTGGCTCAGGTAACCAAGTTTGCGCAACTTCCGGCAGCCTCAGGCAGGTGAACTCGCTGGCCTAAATGTCACTCCATAAGAGGGAAGGAAAGCCAGGAGGAAGCTGGAACTGGACCCTGGGTGCTAACCACTGGACTGTAAAGGGGGTCCAATCAGCCCCAGGCCACCCCAGGAAGCTCTTCCGGGAGCCAGGCCAGCCCACTGCATGCGTGGCAGAGTCCCAGCACACACTCGGGGCTGTGTCTATGTGAGGGACCTCCCAGTTAAGGGGAAATGAAGTCACTCCCCAAACTCCCCTGAGTCAGTGCCAGTGGTCTGCGCCCTGACGAATGGAAAGCCCAGGCTGGGGAAGGCTGAGTCACTTGCTCAAACTCACCAGGGAGACTGCAACCTGGGAACTTTCCCTCCAGACCACGCCCCCATGTCACCTCGCAAACCCTGGAGCAGGTGGCTGGCTTCTGCTGTGAATGAGGAGTGCCACCTTTGGGCCTGGACATGCCCTGCCTGCAACAGCTTTGTGCAAACCTGAGACAGGGCTGTGAGGTTCCCTGGAGCTCTGAGGGCCAAGCACAGCACACTGAAACCTCATGGTGCCTTGCGGCCAGCCTGCAGAAGGACCTGTACTCGCTCCCCACCCTCCACCAGCTGCTAGCCTCTGCCACTCAGGTGGGCGCCTCGGACTAAGCCATCTTCCACTAGGATGCTGAGGCCAGGGAAAGAGATCATCACCCATACTTTAGTAAAATGGGAGGATTCGTCTCTTCTTCTATCTGCACCAGGCTCTGCTGTGCTCTCTCACAGACATATTAACAACTTACACCCTCATACCTGCTCTGTGCATTACCCCATTTTACAGTTCAAATGCTCTGTGCATTACCCCATTTTACGGATTAAAAAACAACTGAGGGACAGAGGTCAGGTTTCCAACCTGAGGTCACACAGCCTGCAAATGGCAAAGCCAAGATTTGAACCCTGGCTTGGGTCCTGGGAGGGTTTCTAGTGTTAAGGCTTTGGCCATTGACCAGACAAGTCCCTCAGGAAACATCTAAAGTATCTACAGATTCTGCTTGGGCCCCAGAAAGAAGACATCTCTGGAAGCACACCTTGGCTGTGATGCTGAGCCTCTGTTTTCTCAGCTATAAAATGAGAGAGCAATGAAGTGTTGTCCAAAAGACCTGATCTCATAACCACTCCGCTTAACTCTTAGGATAAAACCCAGTCTTAGCAGGGCACCAGTGGCTCAGGCCTATAATCTAACTACTCAGGAGACTGAGATCTGAAGGTCTCAGCTCAAAGCCAGCCCAAGCAGGAAAGTCTGTGAGGCTCCCATCTCCAATTAAATACCAAAGGAAGTTGGAAGTAGAACTGTGGCTGAAGTGGTAGAGTGCCAGTCTTGGGCCCCAAATTCAGGGACCTGAGTTCAAGCCCCAGTACCAACATTAAAAAAAAAAAAAAGCAGACAAACAAAAATCTAGCTGGCCCAGTAGGCCCTCTACCCTCGGGGGCCAGGTCCCTGCCCAAGCCTCCCTTCTCGTGCATACACAGCCTCTCCCCTGCTCCAGTCACCAAGCCCTGTCTGCAGATATTCTGATGTGCAAAGGTCTGTCTTGCCCCAGGGTCTTTGCACCAACTGCTCTTTGCCGGTTTTTAGAATCACTTCAAGTGCCAGCTCCTCCAAGGCCTCCTGGCCACCCCGAGAGAGTCCCACCTACCCCATCCCTTATCCTTTTGAGTTCTCTCTTCTCCTTCACATCTGTCCTGGACCTTCCTCTGCCCTCCCTGTTTTCTTCTTCCAAGACAAACATGACAGGAAACATCACTGACCTGTGGCTAGAACAAGACACAGACCAGCCATGGAGATGCATGCATTTAATAGTGGGGTTTTTGTTTCGTTTTGTCTTGTTTTCTGTGTTGATTCTGGGGCTTGAACTTAGGGCCTCATGTGCTTATCAGCTTTTTCTACTCAGTTATGGCTCTACCTCCAGTTCTAGCTTTTTGCTGGTTAATAGGAACCAAGAGTCTCATAGCTTTGTCTGCCAAGGCTGACTTCAAACTTCAATCCCCAGTTCTCAGTTTCTCAGTAGCTAGGATTACAGGCATGAGCCACTGTGCCCAGCTGATTACTGTTCCGTTAATCCTACCTCAATTTAAAAGGGAGAAAAAGAGGGAGGGAAGGAGGGGACTCTTTATTCTGTAACAACAGTCTGTCCTAATCTTGGTGATCAGCTGACTCCCTGGCTAGGGCTCTAACTGCCAGATTTCCCCTGTGTATAGTTACTATTTTCCCTTTGTAATTAATCGCTATCTTGGGAGGGGGGGAAATAAAGGCCTGAGTCCCAGGGTACCAGTTCCCCCAGCTCCCTCTCCCACCTAAGCTGCTGGCACCAGGGCCCAGCTGACTCTTCCTCTGGCCCCAAGCCCCCACCCCCCAACCTGGGCTCTGCTGCTTCTAGCCCAGCCCAGTTCTTCCTTCAAAAACACCATACCCATCTCTGCCCGTGCAGCTCACCTGCCCTCAGTGCCTTTGCTCCACCCCTGCTTCCTCTGCACGTGCAGCTGGATTCCAGAGTCAGCGTTCTGCACAGCAAACATCTCGAGGCCTCCTTTCCCCAACTCCAAAACAAGGAATCCCTCCCAGCATGAGGCCGGTGTAAGATAATTCCCACCAAAGTGTGACCTATGGAAACTGCTCTGCCAAACAGGCTCTCCAGGGCCAGCTCCCAGGAGAGGCCATCACCAGAAGGCTGGCCACAGTCCCCATGGGCTCCAAATCTAAGATAAGACAGTAAAGAGAGCAAAGTCACTGGAATAGACATTTCCCCATGATTTACAAAGGGGAGCCAAGCATGGTGGTGCATGCCTGTAATCCCAGCACTCTGGGGGGTATGGTGGGAAGTGAGACATGGCCACATCCTCAGAAAGAAGATATACAAAAGGTGAAATCAAAGCTGAATACCATGGCTCATACCTGTAAACTTAGCTACTCAGGAGGCTGAGATCTGAGGATTGAGGTTCAAAGTCAGCAGGGGCAGGAAAGTCTATAACATTCTTATCTCCAATGAGGCAAAAAAAAAAAAAAAAAAGTGGAAGTAGAGTTATAGCTCAAGTGGTAGAGTGCTAGCCTTGAGCACAAAAACAGCATCCAGGCCCTGAACTCAAGCTCCAGGCATGGTATACACACACACACACACACGCAGACACACACACACAGACACAAATCTTAAGAGATGGAGCTCCAGCCTAGCAAGCAACACTGAGCTTTTGAGCCAAAGGTCCAGAATTCAGACTTCACAACTATGACTGGAGGGTTTTGAGAATCAATATTATTTGGCACATACATACATGCTCATGCTGAAGAAGAAGCCAGGCTGCCTTAGTTCATATCACATTTCTGCATGACCTCGTGCAAAGTCTTAGGTCCCTTTTATTTATTTTTTTTGGTCAGTCATAGGGCTTGAACTCTAGGCCTGGGCGCTGTCCCTCAGCTCTTCAGCTCAAGGCTAGCGCTCTACCACTTGAGCCACAGCACCACTTCCGGCTTTTTCTGCTTATGTGGTGCTGAGGAATCTAACCCAGGGCCTCATGCATGCAAGGCAAGTGCTCTACCACTGAGCCACCTTCCCAGGCCCTTAGGTCCCTCTTGTACTGTTTCCCCTCTGGAAGATGGAAAGGATGTGGAGGGAACTACCTTGCAGAATGGAGGGAATTCACACACACTTATAAAGCACTTAGCCCTAAGTGCTCAAGGTGTGGAGTGATTTTTGCCCTGGTTCAGGGGTCAGAGGTGCAGTTTCTGGTGTTCATCACATCCTCCACCCACCAACCCCACCCCCTTCCTTCCACCTGCTTCTCTCAGTCCCGTCCTGGAAGCCAAGTCCAGACTTGGAGAGACAGAGAGGCCCTGGCCTGTCCCAGAAGAGGATCAGAAAGGCTCCAGCCAGCAGGGCAACCCCAGCTCCATTTCAGCCAGCTGTCCAGGGCAGACACCCCGCTGGACAGCCTCCACGGCTGTGCCAGCCCAAGCTATTTCTGGAGTCTTCTCAACACTCATGTCTTGGCCTGCCCAAGAGTCAACCTGGTACAATCCTCAGGAAGGAGGTATGAGACGGCTGTGGGAGGGGTGTGGGAGTGGATGCCTAGGGTACCAAGCTCCTGCCTGTGCAGCACACCGTATGCCCACCTCCACTAACTCGGTCTTCTAGCCTTGATTTATACCAGAGGTTGCAAAATGGGGACAAAGGGCCTTGCTGTGGGGACTGAATGCCAAGGGGGAGAGAGAGAGAAAGGCAAGGCCTTAGGCACACAGGAAGGGGAAAGGTGGGGCTTGAGAAGAACTCACAGCCATGCCCACTTCCTGCCCTCCACTACCCTCTGCCTAGGCCTGAGCTTACCAGTCCCGCCTAAAAATGTGAAGAAACACGTCCAATGTCACACCATGTCAGCAACAGCTCTCACAGACAGGACAGTGACCTCATGGTTGTATGCATATTTAATCATTATGTATATTTAATCATTTTAAGTATATCTATTTAATGGGATTTTCAGTGAGGTAAACAGGTAGCTCAAAATTTTACAACTTTAGTCCAGGGCTAGAGGCTCATACCTTGTAATCCTAATCAAGGAATCTGAAATCTCAGAATCTCAGTCCAAAGCCAGCACTGGCCGAAAAGTCAGTGAGACTCTTATCTCCAATTATCTAACAAAATAAGCAGGAAGTGGAGGTATATAGCTCAAGTGGTAGAGTGCCAGTCTTCAGTGAAAAAGCCAAGGGAGATCACAAGGGCCTGAGTTCAAGTCCCAGTACTGCCCTCCTCTCCCAAAAAGCCCACACTGCACTCCTGGTAAGTCCCTCACTTGCCTCATCCCCACATTTGCTAGGCATCACCTTCCAGCAGGGGAAGATCAGAAACTGGCTAATAAGTAAGCCATGTAGGGCATGGATGGGACCAATGCCACAAAACATGGTCAGTGAAGGCCAGGGTGAGTTGAAGTAATGAATGGAAAGATTTGGTTTTCTTTGAGTTCTTGGGAGTCTTATCCCCAAAGGCTGGAGGCAGGGAATCCCCACAAGAGGTCAGAAATTCCCTTCTGAAAAGACTGCTGACAGGATTCTAGATGTCAAGACGGAAGCCAGACCCCTGCATTGACAAGCCTGAGAATATGGCGATGGGGGGTTAAATATTCAGACCTCAATTCCTCCCCCCTCTCCTACATAATGCCACCAACTATAGTACCCTAAGGCAGGAGGGGAATCCCAGGAGGCAGAGGGCCCAGCCCAAACCAAATCTCCATCTGGGAGGGTCCTAACCCTACTCCCAACTCCAGGTCTTGGCTGACTAGCGACCCTGGCCCCGCTGCCCTACCCCAACCTGGGGCAGATTCCCGAGGCCAGCAGAGCCGCTTAGGATCAAAGAGTCTGTTCCCCACCCCAATATAACCCAGCACTGTCCGTCCATCCGATTCCCCCTCATAAAGAGACCCTCTGAGAGAGCAGAACTGGAGTTCATGCCAGGTAGGCAAATGGTGTCACGCGAACCCAGAGTCCAGCTCGGACACGTTCTG